TTTTGTGTATAGTTAGAGTGATAACGTAGTCATGTTCGGTATGCATTTGATACCTTCAGTGTGCAAGGTGGTGCTACAAAACTGCGGTGTTCCAGCTCCCGACCTCACTCTGTCGACAGAGGTAGTGAACAAATTTGGCTATGTAGGCAACTATATCTCAGTCTGCGGACGCCCCACGGATGAAGTGCCAGCATGCATACAGAAGGTCCGATTGGCATTTGCCAACTTAATACGTCTGTGGTTTCCTGTGAAGGGCTGAATGTACGCTGCAGCAGTTGGACCAGTTCTCCTATTTGCCTCAGAGACTTGTTCTTCGCGAAAGTCAGATAAAGATCGATTGTGGGTGTTCAAACTTCACTGTCGACGCGGCATTGCACGAATTTCATGGGGGAAGCAAATCTGAGGTTAGGCACAGAGTTTTAGATATTAGCGATTACCTATTGGAGCAAGTGGTTGATCACTATAAACAGTGTTGCTTGGAGTATGTGTTATGCATGTCATCAAATTGCCACGACGTTTGCTGTTTGCCGAGGCAGGTGGTGGATCGAAAAGTAGGGTCAAACTAAGACCAGGTATAAGTTGTGAAAAACGTAACCATGATACTTCCTCACACTCATCGCTGCAGGATTTTTGGAAGGGAACATCGGAATCGGCCTATTCCGGGGTTAGAGACATTGGGTTATATGGCTGAGTGTCGTAAACAGTGGCGCTCGGTCATCTCAATTCCTTTGCACCCTTATTCCTCATGAATTCTCTATTGTCATTCTGACAGTGATTTGATCATTTCAGTCTTTCCTCTATTCATTCATCCAGATGGTAAGTCAAAGGACGATTACCGAAATCGGCGCACGAAAGTGCACGGTTACTTATTGTAAAAAATAGAAAGTGAAACTATGAGCGATGATGAATCACGCTGTGGTAACCCTTTTTTAACTTGGAGTTATTCGTAAGTGATGACGTAATATGCGTGTAAATGTTTTGCTGATTATTCCTGAAACTTAGCACACAATCCTCGGTTCATGCAATTAATCACGCACTTTTGAAGAGTTAGATTTGAGTTTTACTCCCGTTAGTTCTCACCATGGCAGTCCTGCGAAATCCCCTCCCAGAATGCATAAGTTGTCGCTATAGTAACAGCTAGGAGTTAGAAATGGAAGTAAAGGCAGCAGGTCGTTTGGACCGTTATAAGTTGGTTTAGCGAACGGATCCATTTAGTCATTGTAAAGATCAAAGGCGAAATATATACTTCGTACTTTTACAAATTATTTGTACGATCAGAAATGGTCCAGTGCACATGGTAGCATGAGTTCCAGGGAACAAACTACAAGTGGATCTTTCAGCCATTTGATTTTTATTCAAGTCTCTCGCTGCGATATGAGATGCGCACTTTCGGTTGACTTTCTTTTGTTACCCCAACTCACTTGTTTCACAGAAACCTGGCTCTTGCATTAAAAGAATTGTCTATTCGTGGCGATTTCCGCACAACCGTGGAATATTTGATAAAAATTATGGAATCCGACGCTTTCATGAATCACAAAATTGACACCGACTGGCTGGACATGCGAATCGCTCAGAAAGATCAGGTGAACAGATGTTACTTAGCAATTCCGTCCATTGTTTACAACCAATGAACTTCAAAGTAATTTTTTACTATGCGAATTTCTTACAATCTCATGTTCCTCTGGTCCCCATAGGATATTTTTATAGGTGAATCCTTTCTCAGCGAAACAATGATAGTGTCACATAAAGTTCCAGTAGGAGATGACAGATAATTTTTTTAGTTGTGTAGAAATGTCAGGTGTGCCAGGATTCCATCCAGTCTCCGTTTGGAAGATTCAATAGTTGGTGCACAAATGATGTGAGATGGAAAGGTGTTCCAATTACTGCACATTCTGACCGCAAAAGGTTAATGTCGGCATTCCAGTTGACACTTTAAAATCGGAAACGTGAAACGATATCCCCTAAGGTGTATGTTCAGTGACAACGAGAGCAGCGGCCGACATGGATGGGTCGGGTTCTGCAGTATTTGACACGCCAAAATCAAGCTTCCTCGAGTTCGGCGGTACTGGGCAGAATATAGTCCCAACGATCGTCATCTCTCATTAGAGTGCTCATTTATACGTATAACTAGACACCGACGCCAAGCGTTCTTCGATTGTTATTTTGCGACACAATTACTCCGATCATATTAATGGGAATGCCGTTGTTAGGGTTTTGTCCGCTTAAGGGAAATCCATTGGCGATGTATTTCATATGTGTGATGCTAAAAATTATGCCTTCCAGCTTATTTTGGAAAAATTAATTTAATTGTTAATGGCTGAGTTCCTTCCATCGATCGATGATCGAAACAGGTGCATAATGGCTTTGTTGGTTAGAGGTTTTTATTTCTCTCAACTGTGGTTCCTGCTCCTCTTCGTTGGTTTAGAATCAGGGTTGTAGCCAACTCCCCTAGGTGGCTTGCCAATGGCTCACCAACCCAGGTGTTGGCTTTTCTCTATTTCACTTTGTTAGGAAAACGCCTCCATCACTGAAACGCGGTGGTAAGACCTCATCAGAAGTTATTTGAGACGCTTGGTCGTATAGGAGCACTTTGTGAGGTACAGGAGAAATGTGACTAACCATAACCGCAGCCACCTAACCTGGACCATACGGAGACTTTTGGAGTCCCTATGTTCGTTGTTCGCATTGTGGAAGTCATTTCTACTTCCAATAAATTTCCCGCATATATGCATGTTTGATTCTAATTAGAGAATACAACGTCGCACGTGGATCTTCACTTTGGTGCTAGATTTGACAATAACTCGACGAACATGTATTCGCCACCGAACTAACGTGACTATGAGCACTGACGATTCTTGAAAGCACCGCAGTATTTTTTTCTAGGTACATTTAATTCATTGGGCTTCGAACCTGGGAACGTGCATTTGTTGATTAGATACACTGTTCGCTAAGGCCAACCTAGTTTTCTCCCGGCAGCTTGCTGCGTCACTGCATTCAGTGTTGCGTACCCCTCACTGTCTATCTGACACCAACAGAGAACTGATGGGTTTGTGTTCATAAGTAATACTAGAAGACTCACAGTTTTGTTTGTTTTAGACCAATTACTGATTATAATCAGAAATATCACTCGACTCCTGTTAAGAAATACATTCTTGCAGATTTTCGTAAAATCGGTAACAGTGCTCCTTTACTTAAATTAAGATGGAGTTTATCTTTGCTTTTTATATATTCCTTCGGTGGGCAACGCTTGTATTGTGATTGAGTCTCTATTTTTTTTTACAAAAGTGCCAACGATTATCTTGAGCCAAAGCAATATCGCAATAGTTGATCATGTTTTTCATTAAATACATTGCTTGAGTTTCATTTTTCTAAAGGTGGAAAAACCGGATCTTCTTTTGGGCGTTGTGTGCACCGCACTTCACATTGCCGATCGATGCCTACGTCAGCTCACTAGAAACTACGAACTGTACTTGGAACGGTGAGTATTCAACCGTCATACCGTTGCTCCTTCCTTTTATTTTTCTCTAGCTCATCCCCCACCTAATTTGATAGTTTTGAGCTCAGTGTGTTTGTTTGTTTTTCGGTATCAGGTTTACGACGAAACACAAGAAATTTTTCGTAATTCATGTCACCTCCTTTGTAGCTGTTTGAACTCCATTTCACTCTATTCTAAATCCCAATCTCTCCATTGCCTGCCATTGTTATTATTGCTTTGGCACCATTCTTTCCCGCAAATCGGTGATAAGTATATTATGGCATTAGTTATCTACTTATTTCAGAGTGATAAATACAAGGACAAGCCATTGTTCGCGCAAGAACATCTGAAGACGCGATAGTTTGATTACTTGCTGGACCTATTTACGCCACACTTTGCGCACATTTTTCGTTCCCATGAATTAATAAGTATCTGTTAGGTCACTTATTTGTATTCGGAAAACAGGAATGTTTGATCTTTGACGTACGGTCACAAGATAGAACTATGACCTATGATGTCGTTTGCCGAGCGTTAATCCGTCAAGATTGGTTTTTCGAACCTACAAAGTAGATCAATTTTCTAGGCTGTTGTAATACTGTGCTTCCTTTTAGCAATCAGTCCTGTCCGTGAATGCGAAACGAACCGTTTCAAAAATGTAGCCTTTGCGTGATATTTTCTTGTGTATGTGCGCGTACTTTTTTCTGCTCTTTTTAAAAAGCAATGGAATAATCAATATCACTTTTAGCTATTCTTTCTCCGGTTCAATGGTAAATCTAACAAATAATGCACGGGCTCATACATTTGTAGCCAAATAACATCTATGGTTCATGCGCTCAATAGTAAATTTGCAGCGGCTAAATCATAATCGTCACCTATGTGTGATGTTAACAGCTTTTTTGATTTAACATACCCCCACATGGATTCTCCATCCTCATATTACCATTTTAAACTGGAAAATATGGTGTCACCTAAGTGAAACAGACCTGAAGTTAAAGCGAGAATAAAAGGATTGTTTGTCTTCAATTCAAAAGTAGTTCTTGATCATAGATACCAGACAGTTTCATGATTTATTTTGCATGCGTTTCACTTCTCCTAGGTTCGTTTGTTCAACACACGTTACTTGCATTTTATTTTTGTTAAAAGCTGTATATGGTTTACGAAAAAGAGCACCACACTTAATTCTTGTCGAGTTCCTACAAAAATGAAAGAGCTGTCTGGCGCTCTTTTCTCCTGCTATAGATAGTAAAAATCATTTTGGTGTAGAAAAATGTTCATGAAGGAATTGGTGGTGTAGTTCATGCTTTTTATTACGTTTGGCTTTTTGATTGTATTGAATACCACAGATGTTATAGTCCACTATGGCAAGCGAGGAAGCAAGCTAAGAAAAAACGTATCTGATTTGAATAGATTCACTTAGGAGCCTAATCGTTTTCATTTGGATGCCCATTGCCTTTCGTTTAGTGTTTAAGCTAAATCCTTGTTGGATCCATTGAGGTCGCTGTTTATTGAGGACATGTGCGTTGCATTCATTCATTTTCACCTTCTGCTCAACAGCGTATTTCTAAATCTGAGTACCACTTTCAGACTACCAGCAATGGGTCCTGGATATTTGTTGACAGTGCTGTTTGATCATTTCATACACATTTTGGTTGGTTCTTTTGGAATGTATGACCTTTTTGACTGAATTTGTTATATCCATGGATATGGTCCTGTCCGCCAATTCTAGTTTTTAACATCTCACTTTTGATTTTACCATAAAGTTTATGCCTCTATCAAGCCACATTCTTTCATGTGCTATTGTCGCTGATCTTTGCTGGTCTGTTCAAAACTATTTTCAGTTTTTAATAGCTGCTCCAAAATTCAGTGAATCGTTCAGTCTCGACCATGAATTGATTGCGCATTGTTTAACACACTGTCAGTGAGAGCACATCTCTGTTAACGTGCCAGTTTCTTTTGTTGAACCCTGTCTTGTTCGTACATGTTTCTTTCTGTCTATCTGATGTTATTTTCGAGGACTACGTGCATTTGGCCAAATGTATCTATTTAGAGCATCTGCGGCTTTTCGCTGCCACATTACAGTTTTCGTTGTCCTCTCTAGGTGAATCACTTATAAGAAAGATGAAACTGGCACATTACAGCTTCTGATACACAATCTGCACAAAACTTAAAATAATTCTATTGATGACCATTTATTACGTGATCCAATCAGACAGTAAGAACCTTCACATTGTTCGCTTACGTCACCAATTGACCCCCCCCCCACCTTGGTGTGCATTCCAATTTAGGGATCCAGTTACATTTTCAACCAATTTCTACTTATTTNCCGTATTCATCGAACAGAACAGTAACCGTGGGTTTCCTCCCAACATTTCTTGATCTCATTTTTTGTGCCTTCACCATAATCAGACGTGAGCAGATGCAAGGCACGCATACAGTGAGCGACATGAAGAGCAGTCTACCTCGCACTACACTGGTGATACAAGTGAACTGGAAAAGGAAAACTGAGGTCAGGAGCAAAGTCTGATGCAATCAGTAATAGTCTTCATGTTCCGTAGGTTACGTTGGCTGGGGCGTGTCCTGCGTGCCATCTGATAGGTTTCCGCGACAATCAATGTTTGCCAGGGTAGTGAGTGAGTGACTGAAGGAGTCAAGATTAATATAATAAAACTTGAAATTAGGGCATGCAAATCCTGATCAGGAGACCCAGTCATGTAGGCTGCATTAGGTCTCTCCAATGGGGACCTCGTGATCAATATCATTGATATTTTGAGACACGATTTTCTGGTTGCATGTGGTGAACGGGGACACTCGTGCATTTCAAGTTTTCGCAACCTTAGTCCTGAATCCTCATTTTGACACTGCTCCCAGTTTTCCACTTCTGTCGAGTTCTGTATCCCAATGGGCTACCCCCCTCCAAAAACTAGCAGCCAAAACCGCTTTCCGAAAGTGCAAGGTTATTTGTTGTAAAAACTGAACCTGTAAATGACTAATCTTTTATTGCGTGCGAAAGTGTACGCTAAATGTGTGAATTACCAAGGATAACCACCTGTCATATTACAAGATGAAACGAGCTGGTGATAGCGATGGCTCGTTTGATAACCCATTTATCAACAGGGTATGAACAAATAAGAGCCTTCCGATATAAGAAATATGGTTATTCGCTGTGGTTTTCTTAACGATCGATCTTATTATTAGCAAAGGTAATACATAAGCGGTTATTTTGCAAGGGGACTGTAGACCATAGTCCATAGAGAAAATTAGGTTCCAATGATTGTCGAGTACAATTTACAGATCCTTCCTCAAGGTGAGTTGTTTGAATCTTCGGTATTAGACATTCAAACGTGTGGAAGAAAAATACGCATCAATGGTGTTTTCGGCGCTGTTGTCGTTTAGGTGCAAAACTGTCAACGGAATCAAAATTCATACGGATTTTGCTTCAAAAGTTCGGAATTTGTGTTTACAATAAGGCTCTAAGCATAATCTATATGTAAAGATTGATTGATTAAAGCTAACCGTATTCGTTCCTCCGTGTCACTTTGTTAATTTATCTGAATTCGGATTCTTATTGTCAGTAATTGTAGTCATCTAGTCAATCACAGGTTTACTTGTGACAGCTCGTTGACTGATGCAGAAGTTTCGCACTAGTTTTCATGATTTTACGGCATGTAATCAGTTGTTGTTTGTGAATTGTTCTGTTTTCAGTGGTCAATTCCTGCCCACAAACACATTGACGAACAGTGTCGACGTCACCCTTGTCTCTGACTACATGAAATTTGCAGTTACGGTAAGTAAAACCATGCTTTACGATTACGTACACATTTGCACAGAGCATGTGGACAGTTCGAATGGTTTGTACCAATGAATAGTCGGTTGTTCGGATTTACCTAATCGTCTATTTTGGGGATTATTGTGCTCAGCTTTAAAACCATGGAGGGAATTACTGTTTGAATTCGGGGTACCTTATTGTTTCCCGCACAAGATGCTTAGTTATTTTTCATGTGTTTGATCCTCTGTAGAGTTATTCTTCTCCAGTGTTTAGATAGTGTGAATGTTTTTTTACTGGAATCAAACATTGATACATTGAACAGAAGCATTTTATCGCATGATCAGATGAACGGGAAACCCGACGTTTGAAACAACCGACAGTTTCAGTCCTGAAAATTGGGGATTACTTTACAAAAATGCGTAGAATCGCCCATCTGACTGAGAGCTGTATTAAATGAGAACATTGTCTTACATCTCATAGTAATTGTAGTTGTGTTATCCCGATTAACATAAACCTTTTTTTCGTGCAGTCCGAAAAGAGAAATTGAAAAATTGTCGGGGAACTGACTGCATTCGTCACAAATTTTGTTTGAATGAAGAACTGACAACCTTTGCGCCGCTTGTTGTTAATCCTACGAGGAAAGCTTTCATTCATTAAAATGTTTTACTTCCAGCTTCCTCCACCAGTTGAAACACTGCAGAACATGCTTAATTGCCTTCTCGGCGATTCTGCTGCCCCTGGTAACTTATAATCTATTTCCTAACACTGTTTTTGTACGGCCAATATAAATATAATCCCTTGTGTAAGGTAGTCTGCGGAACAATGTGTGGATAGTCATGAACTAAACTTCGGTCACTTCGCTGCATTTGTTTGCCGAATGTCAGCTGCTTGTTCTTGATTTTCGACATAGGTTTGCATGTTTGTCAGGTGGTTGTCATAATATCAGTTGTTGCTTACTTTTAATCGGTGTCCCATAGCCTGCTGATCACCCATGCAGGTTCAATCCAGTTGTGGTATATCGTGTTTGAAATGTGGTAACTTGTCGGTTTGGATAAGTAACCATTTCTACACTTGTACAAAATCACTATGTAGCCATTTGTAATTATTTTGTGCTCCCGACATTTGTTTCGGTTTTTCAGATTTCGCTAACACGTCTCATTACTTCGATTTCAAATGCCGTTGCTCTAGAAAAACCGTGATGATAATTAAAAGTGGCATTCCGGAATAAGAATAAAGTTTCGTACAAAAAGCTCTTCTATATGGTGAACACGGTCCTTAAACTTTGTTTTGTATTTCGGCATCCTTAGTGGTCATAGTTTACACACATAAGAAGTCATAAACTGACCTTTCTGCCATGTTCTTCTTTGAGAATAAGTGTGGATATTTCTTCTAGCCTTTAGATAATAAAATATATTATCTATCAGACTTTGTTTTCTTCACATATGTCACCCTTAAGAAATGATTCTATAGTATGAACTATAAATTAATGATTCACTTAGAGAAATCTCGATACCTGACAGAACTGCTCAACCGTCAAAGGCTTTGCTCACCACACCGTATGGAATTCATTGCAAATATGATCGAACATCGCATGTAATATTTATGTAAGCGATATTATGTTCGGAACGTATTTGTGTACTAGACTGTTGAAGACAAGTACTGAATCCAATTCGCGCAGAAAATCGAAATTCTCTTTGTTGACTTACGCGTTAGTAGTTTGGGGATATGGGGAGATCAGAATAGGTAGCCGAAAGTTGAAGAACTGTAGGTGTGCAACATAGCAGATCGCAGTCTCAGTGCATGCTGGGGGCACAAGGATCACCTTTGCAGGATGCAAAAGGTTTTCAATATTAAAAATGACTCATGATGGCTGTCCGATGTGGATTGAACGAAGCATACGCAGTTCTTTGTGAGCGTTGATTTAGAATACACGTGACTCGTTGTAGATGGAATAGCGAGTTTGGAATAAGATTTATCCAATGAAAAATAGCAAAATGGCGAGAAAAACCACTGAACGTATTTGTCGTCTCCATTATCATAAACTTACCTTTGAAGAAAGTCATTCTTCAGTGTCTGTCTTGTAAGTCGTTGCGGTGTCACATGTCACATAAACTCATGCTGCAAATAGTCCAAGTTTTATCGAAAATCTGATGCATTAGCTTGAGCGACTGAGCGAGGTAAACCCCAAGTAGTTTAGTGAATTATAAAGAGACAAAATATTGCAGATCAGTTCTCCTATCTCGGGTGAACTGAATTCTATTTCGCCTGTTCACCGAGCCTGGCAATTTGTTTCCAAACGTTTCATCACCAGTCGAGGTGACATCATCAGTGCTTATGAGGTGGCTACTTCACAAACGTTTGCAAACAAGCTGGGCCAACAGGCGAAATAGAATAAAGTTTCTCTTTTATCATTAATGTTTAGAATTTTCGATCTACATTTGCATATGGTTTCTTTACCGAATACTAAGTTCTGTCATTTCTCAAATTCACGTCATAGGTTCTTCGTACAGGTCCATCCAGTTTCCATTTGATCTCCAACGGGAGCCTTTTAGGTGTGGAGGCCCATCGAATGTCTTCAGACGGGTTGTTGATTTGCCACGAATTGGCTAGTTACATGACTTATTGTCATGAGGATGGTCAGGGCTACAGGACTGTGATCAATAACCGCACAATGGCGTTCTCCAAAGAGACTGACCCTTCGATTTTGAGGTTTGTCCTGTTGTTGCATGTTTTTCTTTCTTGTATTGCGATGCATAGCTTTTACTTAACTTCGACATTTGGCTACTAGTTCATTAACTGGTAACTCGCTGAGTTTTTCACGGGACATTTTGCACAGATCCAGATCGATGTCCATTATTCCTTTACTATTGCATAATCCGATAATACTTTTCCTCACTTTTGTCCGTTCGTTTTTCTCCCCTTTCAATGTGCATTGCGTAGGTCGCAGTCCACCGGAAAATTACTCCAGTTTACCGTACCTGATGGGGCACATGTGTGTACGAATGAGGTGTATGCACTGATTGAAGTAATGAAATTGGTTTTGGAATTACGCGTCCCCGCCTCAGGAATTATATCACTCAAACGAATCCCCGGTGCCTCATTGGAGCCGGGCACGGAACTGGCTAGTTTGCATCTAGATGATCCTACTCAAGTGAAATCTCTGCAGTTGTATACGTAAGTATTTTTCTGCGAATGCACTCAACCACTTATGTTTTATTCACGTTGCGAAATTTTTGGAATAAATTTATTAACTATCGGGTTTGTTTTGATCCTTGTGCACTTCGATGGTCTGTTTTAGTTCAAAATGGTAGCCTAATTAAAGCTTTGAACACGTCATTCTTTTTATGGGATTTGTCTAATCGAAGTCTTATAATTCTCGGTATACGGTCATATGTCGACCTCGCTGACTTCCGTGTCATCACTCAAACAGGTTCTATGCGCGTTCGTCTATCAAATCGGCACCATAACGAGCAGCTCTGACAGCCTAACCCAACGATATGATAGATGGAAAGCTTTTTTCTTGGTAACAGACGAGAGAAATTTAACTAAAGCATGGCTAACAGTATATGGATAAAAAAAATATAACGTTTAAGGTCACCTTTCTTGGGATTTCACTTACGGTGGTCTCTGGTCGAATCACATGTTAACGATTGTGACTCTTTCGAGCTACATTTTGCTCTTATTTCCTAATTCGTGGGATTCAGGCCACCATGAGCTGGGCTTGAAATCAGAACTTCGTGGATTTCGAACCTTACGTTGGGTAAGTTGCTAAGGGAGTAGAAGGTAAATTGCTGTGGATAGCTATCACACTCAGCGGTACCGGAGCGTATATCGTTGACATGTTCGAAACATTTTCAGTTGAGCTTGCCTTGTCTTTTAGAGTAGCTCATTCGATTGTTTGGAGGCACCAGGCACTCTTGATGTTTTTGAGCCATTCGCACGAGATGATGTCATTAGACCCTGTAGCTCAGGGGTATGGGTTTTTGAAGTCTCAATCCGAACGTTCGCGGTTCGAGTCCTGACAGGGACACAAAAGTACGCATTTCTGACGAGTCCTAAACAGGACGAAATAGCTGTTCAGTGCTGTTTGCCGGTTATCACAAACATTTCTATCGCATGTAAGAGCTTGCCTTGTGTTTTCAGATCCGGTGAATTCTTCATTCCTGTAATCCCCAAAAACCGGACGTCATTGTTGCGCTTTTTTGTCTCTTCGTTGTACGAACCGTTTCGGCCCAATGAACTTGGGCACGATATTTTCACTCTTTACGGAATATCATAGAAACTCGTAATCAGTCGTAAATAGTGAGTTAGATTGAAGATA